CCGCTTCATCTATCTCGCTAAATGGGTTGGTTGACAATGGAGACGGAGTCTTGTTCTGTTCTTCATCTGCGTCACCCTCATCCTCGTCTCCTCCCTCTCTCGAAGAGGAAGAAGAATGTATAACCACACGCGCCGCAGTAGGCGAGCCCGGCTCGCTAGAGGGAGAACCCCGTGTCGCGGTATCGTCTCCTTCCCCTTCAGAACTATCGTTCACATTTGGGATTAAATTTTCCTCTGCCACAGGGGTGATCGTCACCGGCGGCTCGGTTTCTTCAAATGCCGTAGGTAGTTCGCCATGTACCATAGGGGTTTGTTGTATAGTTATGATAGAAGACATGGATACTGGACGAGCATTGGTCTCTGACCAACTAAAATGTTTTCAATGAGTGTCTATGAATAGTCACAAGCCAATAGAAAGCTGACCTGCCGCTCAGGGCCGCATCAAAAAACGGTGAGGCGAATACCAGGATCTCTTTATGAGCCCTTTATTCGAAATATTAGTGTGAGAATACTTTAGCCACCCTGTATCAGCCCCTTACCAAAAGGTTGTCGCCTCGACGACGATCTTTATGGTGCCAGGCCATCGAGAGCCAGAAGCTCCAAAGAAAGTCTCGTCGAGGTCGATGGGACTCGTCGATCCGTGTTCACCTTCTGTGCTTTCGAGACCTTCTTCTCCGCTGCTTCCTAATGATACTTCATGCAGCACCCACGGCGGTGACGCATTCACTCCTGCATGATGTCTTTTGATTTAGCCATGAAATGCCTCGCTATTGTCATTCTTCACCGACCTGATTTGATAGACGAGCGGGGCAAAAAACCTGACGCGGTCGCCGGCGTGGTCAACGTTTCCGTTGGCGATAGACTTGTCGAGGACCTTGCAATCAGAATATGGGACGGATTTTGCTGTGAAGATGACCCATTCGCATTTGGCATGACCTTTTTATTTTTTCTGCCAAATTTTAGATCAATGCGGGTGGGCGGTGGTGGGTCAAAGTGTGCCTATTCCCCTTTTGGAATTTCAAGCCAGCCAATTACCGGCCATGCAAGTTGGGTTGGGCTCGACTCGAGCCTCAGGCGGAAACAAATGTGCTACTCTGGGTTGGAATCATCCACGAACATTCGTTTGCTTTGACATTACATTCTTAATTGCTGCCCAGTTACGACCAACTCTACAATCTTTTCAAACACTATCGAACATTACCATCGAATCACGCGTACCATGAAGCTCCTTAGCGGCCTCTTTGTGCTATCCTCTGTGGTGGTGACTCTAGCTCACCCCTTGGATGCTAACCCAGCAAAGGTGAGTACTCCTGAACTGCTCCTCCCAAGTGCTAACCGGAAGTAAAGTCATTTGTAGGGCGTGCACCACTCGCAGTCGACAAGATTGACCAGCATCTTCATCCTACTTCTCCATGGCCTCCGAATGGCCCCTTTGCACCCAAGTCTTCTGAAACTAAATTAGAAGACGCCTTCGAGGAACTTATCCTTGTCAGTCTGGAGATCATTCTGCCATATTTTCGAGCTTTCTAACGCTTTGAAATATATACAGGATAAATGGCAACGCAGATCAGAGATGGAGGAGGGTGCAGAGGTGCGTCATTTCAGTATCATGGACATCATAGACTCAAACTGGCCTATCATATCTCATTTGTAGTCGATCAAATCCCAGAGGGTGAGTCGTGTCCTTCAATAATGACTGTCTATCTGACCGTGACCATAGGATGACCCAAAGCCGACCCCTACCAGCTCAGAGGATACGATATCCGAGCCACCGAGTATCCCAACAGATTCTTATGAAGCTCAAGTCAATGTGAGTTGGGCTTATGGGTCTCGTAGACCTTCACTTATATGATCTAGGTGGTGAATAGACACAACGGAAGGAAGCACCATGGACATAACAAGAAGCGAGGTGCTAGAGCTCCCGACTACAAGACGACTTCCGTAGATGGTTCTAACATGAACGAAGAGTCTACCCAAGAGCCTCGCCCGACTTCTTCTCCAGAGTAATGCGCCGAACGGACTTTTACCGTGATTATGATAATGAACCACTAGTTTACATTATGCTAATTATACCTGAACATTAATTTGTTTTTAATCCTTGTGTAGTGTTTTTGAATAAAGTCGAGATGCCACACTATCAATAAAGTTGGGTCGTTTGGCCCACTTCCTTCCACGTCTCCTCTACGTCGGTTCATTTTCTTCTGCGCTATTGTCCAGCGCAAAGAATCTTTGAAGAACACCTGAATTTGGACATTCTCACGTTAGGACACGTCACTCACGAATAAATCCATTTCGACATCAAGTTTGCGGCTACCGTCAACCATCTCCGTGATTACTAGATTTTCCGAAACAATTTAGCAATCATGCAGATGCTAACAAAGTTCGAGTCAAAATCTAACCGGGTGAAGGGTATGTATTGCTTTCTTCGTCAGTGGTAATGTCAATTCTGAAGATCATCTGTCGACGTGCCGTCACGCGGAATTTTGCAACCAAACTCCTTTTATCGAACTGATGGGCTCAATATATCCAAAATCTGGTGACCAGGTCTTGCCTTTCATCCAACACGCCCTCTACTGGCCGCTTCCCTCCATAATGGTAGCGTACAGCTATGGAACTATCAAATGGGCACATTGGTTGATCGATTTGATGAGCATGATGGTGAGATATCCCCTTGATCGACACTCCCTTCTCTATCGACACGTGAAGCCAAAGTGGTTGCCTCAATCCACGCAATGGATGCATATGAATTACGATTGCTAACAAGAAAACCTGTCTTTTTTTGTTCATAGGTCCTGTTAGAGGTGTAGCAATTCACCCATCTCGCCCTCTGCTTGT